GGGAGGTATCAGTGGATGTATATCCAAGACTAAAACTAATCCAAACAGAAAAGAAAAAACAACTCTTTAAAAAAGTTAAAAGCCATAACTTTTACCTACCTTTTGAGTGATCATGACCTTTAAAGGGTCTCTTAAAATGCTTTTTATACTTTTTACGCTTACGTCCTTTTTCAGTGCAAGCAATTTTTTGGGAAAAGGATAAAATTCAAGTTAGTAAAGCAGAAATGTAAGAAAGCATAAGAAAAGATGGAAGGAAGTTTAGCTTGTCTTAAAACAGAATGCCATAGTAAGGTCTCATTAAAAGCTTTTAAAGAATTTCAAATCTGTTAAACAAGCAATCAGCTACTTCTCATAGCACAGAGCCTTATTTTTCTAATTTATGCATACCTAAATTCACTTTCAGGGAAGCAAAAACACCTTGCTTCCCCCCTGCCTTTTGGGGGGGTGGCGGGGGAATCATTGCAGTTCAAAGCCCAAGTAAACTAAGCAGCCAGTAAAATCTTTAGATTAAGTACCCAAATTTCTACTGGATCAATGGTCCTGCCAATTGTAAGGTCAAGGCATTTAATTCAACTTTCATGTATTCCTTATGTAGCGTCTCAAGAGTTCAAGAAATTACAAATAATCACCAGGCTTCTCAGCAAATACATACCCAGACTTCTTCATGACTGCATTGCGTAACATAATTCCAGATTAGTTATGTACAAAAGAGAGCCAAAACCAGAGCCGTGACTGCTTATTAGAAGCCCTGGTGAGTAAGTTTTTCTGTAATCCAAGTGTTTGGCGTTGTTTTTTTTTTTTTTTAATAACCTCAGGCAAAGGCATAATTGTCAGGGGGAAAAAAAAAAAAAACACCAAACATGGAAGTTTAAATATAGAATAAGCTTCTACCATACAAGGGCATAACTTCCAAGATATTTGAGATGTAGTCCAAAGAGCACTTTTCAATATTGATTCTCATGCTAATCAACAGTATGGTCTGAAAGTGGTCTGAAAGAACGATACCAGTAACTGCAAAAAAGGCATGCAAAAATAATGACTCTTTAAAAGCTTTATATGAAATTAAATGATTATTTACACACAAATTATGACCCACACAATCACAACCATTTAATGAATTAAATTAATGCTCATATTTTTCCACATTTCTAAGAAAACCAGTTGCATTGTTTCTTTCCCCTCTCTGGCCATATGAGGAAGAGAACTTCACAATAGGGCTGCCTCTGCTTAACTTTAAGACGTTATAGCATGAGAAGGGTGTATCCCACTGAAGCAAGAAGAAAGCAAGTGCAACAGTGTATTTAACTCCAGGGAACAACTTTATGTTATTTGCATGCTTGTTCAAACAAAGGAAGAGAAAGTGCCTGCCAAGATTTCAACCTGTCTTGCAGGTGAGGTGATCAACAATGTTTTCTTTTGGGTAGTTCCTTTTAACTGTACAGGCAAGTCTCTGTAAATGACACTTTAAAAAGACAGCTTCCTTCACTTACTATTGAATTTGTAGTTCTCAGGCTTTCACTCCCATGTATGACAAAACCAAGGCAACATGATTTTCCTCTTGACTACCTCCATCCATTACTACATAGAAACTAAATGTGTGATTTTAAGTTCATTCTAAATCTGTGCTCAGATAAAAGACCGCTAAGTTGACAAAACTAAGGCAACATGATTTTCCTCTTGACTTTCCATCCATTACTACATAGAAACTAAATGTGTGATTTTAAGTTCATTCTAAATCTGTGCTCAGATAAAAGACCGCTAAGTAATTTTGGCTATGAACAAATTTCTGAAAATCTGGTTCAAGAAGATGAAATCCAGAGCAACCATTATTATGGTGTACCTGCTGTATTTTTAATGGAAACTGTTTCCTTGCCTAACTTGAGAGCAATCCAAATAAACAGAACCAGGGAAAAGCATGCTAAATGCCTTTAGTCTGCTATGGTTCATTTTGCCTGTCCACAGTTTCAAGACAGCCTGAACTTCCAGTATCTTAAGCCCAGACACTTTAAGTAAGGGTAATTACCTTCTATTCCCAAAATACCTAAAGATAGTGTTTTAAAAACTACAGTAGAATGTTGTTAGCATTTTCTAATATTCTTGAGCTCAATATGACTGATGGAAATCTTTCGAAATGGTCTCTTAGTCTTCTTGACCAGCCACTCAATTAAGACAGAACTACTCATTGCAAGTTTCCACTTGAATCCATAGTCATTAAAATCTTATTTCTAGAAGCACCAATATGTGGATGCTTACCAAACAAGTATTGTTTTCTCATTTCTAATTTGGCTGCTTTGGGGGTGGGGGAGTGTTTTTAAAAATGTAAGCTGCATACCCATCATGCATGTGCAAAATGTAACCATGCATACCCACCAGGCTTGGTGTCCTTGTAAATCAGACTCTCCAACCCATACAAGGAATCTTGTGAATGAGTGCCTTGGTCCACATGGCAGCAAATAACCAAAAAAATGCATTTTGTTCAAAAGAAGGAAATCAGCTCCTGATTTAATGTTAAGTTTATAAAACTTGTATGACACATTAGTATTTCCATTATAGTGTCTGACAGTCAGAGTCACTTCAGAATACCTAGTTTCAAAGATTATCTACATAGACAAATTATGCAATTTTCATTTTACTTATAACCAGCAAAATCAAGACCTGCAAGCTTTGGTCTCTATGTACAAGTTTTGATACTGACAGATTTTGACAGCTTAGAAAACAGAAAATAATGTTTTGTCACCTTGTGTCAGCAGAGCTTGTTATCTCTTCCCCATCATACTACACTAACCACACAGTGACATGACTATTTTGCTCAATATTTGAACAGCATGTCTAAAGAAAATATCCCCAGGACTGTTTATGCTAGAAGAGTCTTAAATAAATGCAAGTATTGAATCAAGATTCTAAACACATTAAGGTAAGTTGAGTACTAATCAGAAAAGCAGATACAGCTGAGAATTCATGGACCCTGTTAATTTTCAATTCAATGTATTTCCTAGATTTTCACCAGCTATTGTGTGCTCTTAAAAGCCTACAGAAAGAGCTGAATTTCTTAGAAGTTTATGGTGCAGCAGAGAAACTTAGGCCCTAAGACTTCTGTATCTAGCAAAAGCAAAGGATCTACTCATGCAAGAACTACACAAGTCCTCCTAAGTACAATATTGTAGCACACCACCAGAAATACAAATAGCTACCACTGAGATATGATCATAGAATCACAGAGTAGTGCAAGTTGGAAGACAACCATAAGGATCATGCTGCAGTATGACTGAGAGGATAACTACAGTTTAAAATAATCCAATCTGTATGTTCCTCTAGCTTTTCCTTCACAAGGCTGAAAGTTTAAAACTGCAAAACATGACTAAATCTGATTCTAGTTCTTTATATAAGGAGTTGAGCTACTGAGGTATCATTTTTATATGATTTTTTTTTTTCCCCAAAAGCCTTACAAATGCTGGATGTAGTAAGTTTCTTTCAGAAAAAATACGACTGTCACAGGTGCACAGACTTACTCTTAATTATATGAAGTTCCAGAATTGGAATTCTTCAAGCAGTGCCCATTAGGTTAAATTCTTCTTGTTATATTATCCCTTCATCCCATTGCTACTGGTGCAAAGAATAATGGCTGAAACACTGCTGCTTTACAGTATCCAAGTCCTACACAACCAAGGTTAAACCTCTATGAACATTCCTTTGCCCCAGTATGAAGTAATGGTTGCAAAATGCATTCACTGAAGTTGTCTTAGCTCTCATACAGTTTCTGGCATATTAAAGACAAGAAATAAAGTAAGGCTTCTTTCTTCACTGTAAACTGATTGCCAGATTGCTGTTTGAAGGAAACTGCAAACATACATCTCAAACTAGCAAAACAGGAACAAGGCAGTAGAGAATCTTGTAACTGAAAAATTAAATATGCAAAGAGATTACAATCAAACTATCTTCTTCCAAGCGTTCTAAGCATCATTTCATTTTCAGTAACTCTTCCAAGGCAAATGACTTGCAGCATATTACAGGTACTCTAGAGATGCATCTTAAGAACCATTATACCGCCCAACAAACAGGTCTCACTTCAGACAAAAACCTCAGTAACAACTTTTTCCTCTACCATATGTAGTTACCTGTCATTGGTTCTGAGCTTGGTTTCTGTCCAAACAAGCCTAATTTACAGCATAATTTTGTTAAAGATATTTGTTACAACAAAACAAACAAATCTGAAAACCCCAAATCAGGTTAACTGGACTGAAATGATCAATTATTTTAACCTGTAATTGAAAGTTTAAAATTTTTTCATGACCTAGATCAAAAGTTTAAGTAAAGTTTCCTATGTTCATGTTCAATTGTTTTCTTGTGTCATTAATTATTTCTCAAGGGAGTCTCATTTCCTCAAACCAGTCAAAATGCAGTACATCATAAAAGGACAGCAGAAACTGAAACAAAAGCATTACTGTTGAGGTAAAAAATTTACAAACCTTACCACTCTCCTCAAGGTTTCCTTTAAGCAAAGAACAACCTGTCACACGCACCTCTAAAACACGTTATTAAACATCTATTACTGAAGTTCTAAAGCAAGATAACAACATTAGCCTCATGCAATGCAGTTTCTATCTTTTGTCCTGTTCCCCTAGAGCTTTAAGAAAAAAGACATACCAGATTATCAAATTCCCACTGGAAATGGGAGCTTACTGAATAAATGAATGGCAAACAAAACAAATAACATTACCTCCAATCTTTAAGAGGAAAAGGCTTTTCAAAGCACTGTAGTATGATTAGCTGGACACTCAAAAAAATCGTAATTTATTAAGTCAATCATGAAACAGGACTTTTCTTTCATAGCACAGTCAAGTCCTCAAATTCCAATGGAGATTTGTATTATTAACTCAGTACCTTTTTCCGCCGCTTTCTGCAAGGCTTCCTCAATTCTTGCCAGTTCCTTTTGTTTATTATCCTGCAAGTATTTTTCTTCCTTCTCTGCATCATATTTAATGCCTGTAAGCCAAGTTGGGACAGCTTTAACCCTAAATTTCAAGTTACATAAATGCATAATCAAGCAATGCACATCATATTCAACATTATGTTGCACAACACCTTGTTTGAGATAAAGGCTATTCTAGGTTTACTTGCTGAAAGCTGCATCCAGCCTCTGAAATTTTTATTTTTACACACTAAGACACAAAAAGATCGTACCAATGTTTAAGCATTACTTCATAGGAGAACCTTTCCATGGAAATTCAGACCCTGAAGTGTGGTCTGTGCAATATAATGCTGGCTTGTAAGTTCTTCTACATGTATATTCATGAGTTTTCTTAATATACTAGAGGTTCTGATTTCAGAGAAAATTAATCAAGTTCTCTGATTCGCTTCCCTCTCCCTAAAACCAGTTCTAATTGAATGACTACTTTTGGCTGTTGTCAGTTAGAAGCAGACGAACTGTATCATGCAACAGTCAAAAGATCTAAACCATGCCAGAAAAGTGGATTCAGGATAAGCACACTTCAGAGGAAACTTGGCTGTTGAATTGAACTTGGAATGGATACAACCAAGGATTTCCATGAAAGCAACAGGTGCTGTTTTTATTCACCCTTATTCCACTAACTTGCCAGCATTTGTCTAGAAATTTCCCTGATGGAACAGAATGTAAAAATGGCAGCTTACATGAACTACTTGCTGTTATATATTCAAATACATGGTACCCTTAGATATTTTTCTCTTCCATTATTCAGTTGTGGTGTTGAAAAGTTTACGTACTTGCTCCAGGAACTATGAGAAGATACAAGCCTTCTAGAGTTGCAACAACTGCCTCACCATAGAGATTCTTCCAAGGAATCTTCAGAGTAAGTTTATCTAAACAAAGAAGATACAGTTACATTGAAACAAAAATCTATGCTGTACTTAGTCCAAACAAGACCTCAGGCATCAAAGAGCATTCACCCTGTATTTTGATGTCCTAAGCACCTTAGAAGGTAAGGAGAAACCATATGGGCCTAAACATTTTACAAAGCCCTTGTGATAAAATACATGCAGAGAAAATATAAGCCATAGATTTAAGCAAGAAGATGCAGACTGAGTCAGAAGACTTCAGATCAAAACCTGACATCATGACTGGAGTTCAATTCACTGGGATGAACATGATTTTCCCAGGGAAGTAGAAGAACTAATACAATACACATTCATCTCCAACAAATGTTTCACATGAAAAAGCAATACTGACCACCAGGGAAAGGAATTTAAAAAAAAAAAAAAAAAACAAAAAACCCAACAAACATATATCTAAGAGTTCCTAAACCTTTGGCATGTTTGCCAGTTTCAGGAATCTTACTTAAATTCTTCATATTCCTAATCTGTCCTTTAAAGAGCGACACATTCTGCCCATACTAAACAGCTCCCTTGATCATGAATGTATCTGGAAAAAACCTCTTAGACATGTTTTTCATACCAGCCTGTAAAGTTACACAAACAGGGTTTGCCAGATAACGTTTTATGATTTATCCAGGGCAGTCACATTAGACTTCTGTGCTAGTTTCAACAGCGACTACAATTACAGAGATCACTTTAGAAAGCTTGATAAAAGAAATTCAGAGACAGGACTGACCTTAAGGCTTTAAGTACTAAAATTTCCATTTCAATACTTATACTGAAACCAAAACTTACCTATCTGACCAACTTTTATTCTGAAAGGTACATCCAGTTCATTCTGTAAAGAAAAAAATAGAGCCTTAAACAGATCCATGTATCTTAAAGATAAGCTGGTTTACACATCAAAATTATCTTTACTCCCATTAAAACTATTTTCCCAGAACTGAAGTTCCAGAACAAAAACAGTTCTCTGTATGACTGAGATTTAATTATTTAGCAATACTCATGTGAACTCAGGAATTCATAAATATGGTCAGGCTTGTAGAAAGCCTTAAAACAAAGTTTTTACAGATTTCTGGCAATTCTCTTCTACAAGTATGATAATGCCTCACTCCAAAGGTTACTAAAAAGTTAAATTTTATTTATATACAAGAATTTAATTTTTACATTTTTATTAATTTGCCACATAGATCTTTTCTTTTTTATAATAGCACTTAGTACTTATAAACATATAAAAAGTCTCATTAACAATACTGAGCAGTTCTTTGCAAAACACCTGTCAAACATCAAGAACAAGACCGGCTCAAAGATGAGGAACATGTGACAAGTGAACAATTATTACCATCAATTAAAACCTCACGAAGCATCTCTCCTATACAGCAAAAACAGGAATATAACCACATGAATATCAAGAACATAAGAGGGACAAAGTAAAGAGGAAATAGGAGAAAATAAACAAATAAATAAATGGAAAGATTAAAAAAATAAGTTAAACATTAAGATTCCAGAACAGTCTTCTACTTCAGTATTCTTTTCAAATAAGTTCATGATAATTCAAAGACCTGAAGAGAAGTCTTAATCTCAAAGATTATAAAAAGTAAACCCATTTTCCCAAATGAGACCGGTATTAACCACTTTTCCCAAGTACTAGAAAACAACTTTGACCACCACATTTTCCAACAACTTATAAACGTGTAACAGGGCTGCTCCAAAAAAAGAAAATTTGTATCCAAATTAACATCTCTGACAGATTTCCAGGTTTTAAAAATCATTCTGAGCTACAATTAGGAGCTTAACATCCAACCAACTTTAATTAACCAAGCTAGGACAATATTTCTGTGACTTGTTCTTTTTCAGTGCCTCAAAATAACAACTAAAGAGCACGAGCTATGGAATATTTTAACCCTTTTCAGGTTATAACTGCACAGCTGTAGAAACTTTTCCCTATGCTTTAAGTTCTTCCTGGTGACAACTGATCTTCAGCACCTCCCAAATACTTCTTCCTGCAGGCTACTCTATGTTAAAAATCTGGTCAATAAGCTTAACTGAAAGCATTCTTCTCAGTTTTTATTTTTCATTGAAATATATCAGGAGAGAAAGAGGAACTCACTTAAAGTAGTTTGATCTCCAAACTTTGTTTTTAGTAGTAAGAACATGCATAAGAAGAGATTGAAACAAATTGTGAGAGCAAAGAAAGATCTCTGCTCTTGATAGAGCCAGGAGCAGTCATGTAGAAGCAGATATAAGCAACCAAATCCACCCCATTTAATGTTGCATTTATGACCCACAGCTGAAATCTAAGGGGGACCAGCTCAGTTTGGTGTGCTGAAAGGACAGGACCATGAGTTTGACCTCGAAAAATTAGTTTTCAGAATATTAAATTCCAAAGGGGAGGGGAAAAAAAAAGGAAAAGATAAAAATTAAAGATGTTTTAAAGTTGTTGAGTAAACACAACAGATTAAAATAAATTAAAAACCAGGAGAGCATTGGGGTTTGACGTTAACATGCAAAAAGATGATTTACTGAAAATACTTCAAGACTCTTAACTGAGAAGGAACAAGCAATATTAGCTTTGAAGATAAAGAGCTGTGACCAACTAGATACTGGATACAAATTCACAAGTAAAGAAGCTCAGAGTTCAAGCTTTTTGATGGCAATGACTCTAATAATATAAGCTGAGAAACATGTAATAGGTTGCTAAAGAGCTTAGGTCATAGTTTGTCATTAGTCATGTTTCATTATGATTGAAAAAAAAGGATAAAGCTGAAGAAATCCACCAGGAAGAATTCATTACTATCATTACTACAAGTTTTTAACGAAGTAACAAAGGAACGTTAACAGCAACTGCCCCATTATACTTCTGTATTTTTATAGCTGAAGTCACAGAAAACAACAGCCTCAAAAGATAAGAGTACATGTTTCGCAGAATGACACTTCAGCACTTTGTGTCAGCAAACTCTCTCTAACATATTTTTTTGGAAAAAAAAAAATGGTTCCATTTTCAAGGTGCCTAAAACTATACAAAGTTATTTTACAAATGAGTTCTTACTTTAGAAATCTTACACTGATCTTAAGCTGACTTTGCATGAGCTGAAGCCTAAATTTTGACTGAGGTCTGACAAACTTCCATTTTAATGAAATGCTCTTTTACTATGACTAAGGAAAAATAGACTCAGGAAGCGTAACACTAAAAGTAACTATTTGCCCATCTCCCTTTTCCTAAGGGCTTCCTTTTCTTACATCTGAAACGTACTGTATCTGTATACAGAAATTAAAAGCTAGTTATTTTCTGGTGCAAAACCTTAGGAGGAAAACAAAAACAATCCAGGCAGCAGCAGAGAGGCAAACTAGAAAAGAAAAAGTTGGACCATATCACATTCCCTTAATCCTTTCCTTTTCAAGAAGGTGTAGTCCTCTAAAAATGGTGTTCAATATCAGCCTTCCTTTAATTACTTTTGCATAGAAATCTAATATATTGCAACTGTAAAGCAGTCAGAAACATTCCTTGTTTTCAGCTCTTGAATTTGTCTTAGCTCTCTTTCAGCTCTGGTCAGTCACGTACATGACTAAGCATTTTTGTAAGTCAGAACTGCTAGAATCATAATCAACCTTGCTGTCATCATAAGAAGGAAAGATGTGTACAAAGTAGAAAACACTTTCTTCTTTCCTTTTTTAACTACCAGATTACAAAGATATTTGTATCAAGAGTTTTAAAATACAACAAAGTTATCGGGAATGGATGAAACGGGCAGGTAAAATACAAAACTTCAGAACAATGATGAGAAACCAATGATTAGGTCATACAAAGATCCAACATGTTTACAATTCACAGAAGAGTAACAATTCTCTTTAGTGAAGTCTGAAGCACACTAAAGATTGCAGTAAAATTCTCTCAGTAGTACAGATGTTCATTAGCTCAATTAAAGAACATAAAAATCAGCCAAGTTTTTTTTAGACAAGAATATGGGTACTTAATGCAAGTTATTTCCTGTTTACACACCAATATCTTAAAGTTTTATCATTTCAAGCCTCAAACGGTAGGACAGGTTGCATATGCATGTATGCATAAAACACTGGGAAACTCATTTTAAAACCCTACCAGTAACATAAGCAAAATTAGAAGCAGTTAACCAAGGATTTACTTCCAATAACCAGTAAAGAAAGCATACTGTATAACATGAGACTACAGTAATATTTTATCCTATGATTTAGTCTTCAGACCCATAAAAACAATTTTTAAGTTATTAGAATACTTACTAATGCATTCTCCTTTATCTGTAAATTGTCAAGTGCCACATTACCTATTTAAAAGAAAAACAGAAGTACAGAACAGGTGACTTCAACTATTATGGAAGTTGGAACAAGGAACACAACTACAAGCCTCCCAAGTACAGACGGATAAAATCTGAAAAACCTCACTCCGGTTACAGGATAGCACAATAAATGTCTACTTTGTAAGAGTCATTACTAATTATTCAGACAAAAATTTACGGTGGAAGAGATTACAGAAATATCACTAACTTGGACATCTGCATGTTTCTACTCTATTAAATACACCTACAAAATTGGAAATCTTCCTTATTCACTTTGTTGTGAGTGATAACTACAGTTCTATCAAGGTAGGATAGACTAGGAAAATTGCGTCTTGTTTTTGATGATTTTGCATAACAGAAAAATCATGAATCATAGAGCCACAAAACCACATGCCTATTTTCACAAACACATTAACTTTTCCTGACATGGGCAACATAACAGAATTTCCAAAGGGAACGCCGGCACACAGAATTATACCCAAGGGAAGGACATATAATACACCTCTTAGTGCTTTCATGCCAGATTCCTTAGAGCTATATTCCATTTTTAACTCATGAATGTTAAAATACTTACTACTACAGCAAGAGCAAAATTAAGGCGACAAGAAAAGTCTCGTCCCTTATGTATGGAAGGCACCTAAAATACCCAGCCTTCTTCTAGACAGGACTTCAACTGATTTTTTGCATGCCTGCAGGGTAGCAAACTGAAACATTTTATGTATTCGCTGGGAACAGCTCCTCCTCGTTATTGCACTAGCACATCTGTTTAATACGCATTATTCACCCCAGGCACCCCATCAGCTGCACGGCAACCATGGCCTCCCCTCCTCCTGGGGCCACCGTGCATGAGCCACCCCACGCTCCGCTGCAGCGCAGAGACACCTGACAGCACACTGGGGCTTCCACCCACTATACCCTCGAGAAGGAAAAAAAAAAA